GCTACACCAACTCGAGTCGAGCCAAGGTCCCCAGGCCAAAGCAACGTCCCGGCATTTTCGGGTGTGTTCCCTGCGAGTGATTACCCAAGGCCAGAAAAAGTGACTACTGTGAACATTTAAAATTCCTCCTTGACTATCCCCTCACCGAATTTTCACCCCCACGGATTCGCGAGATGAGCACTGCCGTTGAAAACGGCGTGGCCACCGGCAAGCCGCAGGGGGTCTTCTCGAGGGCCTTTGCGAAGAGGGCGCAGCCCTTCGAAGAAGGTGAGTCCCGAGATGAGGAGTCGCACGGTTGGGGGCGCTTTCGGGATTGGGTTTTGGAAATCGATTCTCAGGGGTGCTTGCGAAAGATTATTATCCTGGGGCTCTCCCGGAACCTGACCTATTCCTCTGAAAGCAACGTGGACTTGAATCGCCCCTAAAATGGATTTTAAAGTGTAAAGCACTTACAACTGAATTTCAATAAGCAATTCCTTTATTTTTAGGAATATAAATAGTATGCTTGCGAAAACTCATTTTTCCAGGGCTTTTGCGAAACTTGGCTTATTCCTTCCAAAGTAGCGTGTACTTGAATCGCCCCTAAAATGGTGTTTAAACCGCAAAGCATTTACAACTGAATTCCAATAAGCAATTCCTTTATTTTTAGGAATATAAATAGCATGCTTGCGAAAACTCATTTTTCTGGGGCTTTTGCGAAATCTGGCTTATCCCTACCGAAGTAGTGCGGACTTGAATTGCCCTTAAAGTGGCGTTCAAAGCATCAAGCTCATACAACTGAATTTTAATAAGCAATTCCTTTATTTTTAGAAATATAAATAGTATGCTTGCAAAAACATATTCTCCTGGGGCTTTTGCGGAATCTGGCTTTTTTCTTCTAAAGTAGCGTGGACTTGAATCGCCCCTAAAATGGTGTTTAAACCGCAAAGCACTTACAACTGAATTTCAATAAGCAATTCCTTAATTTTTATAAATAAAAATAGTATGCTTAGGAAAACTCATTTTTCCGGGCATTTGCGGAACCTGGCTTATTCCTTCCAAAACAGCGTGTACTTGAATCGCTCCTAAAATGTTTTTCAATGTGTAAAGCAGGTACAACTAAATTTCAGTAAGCAATTCCTTTATTTTTAGAAATATAAATAGTATGCTTAGGAAAACTCATTTTTCCAGAGCTTTTGAGAAACCTGACTTATTGCTTCCAAAGTAGCGTGTACTTGAATCGCTCCTAAAGTGTTTTTCAATGTGTAAAGCACGTACAACTGAATATCAATAAGCAATTCCTTTATTGTTAGAAATAAAAATAGTATCCTTGCGAAAACTCATTTTTCCGGGGCTTTTGCGGAATCTGGCTTATTTCTTCCGTAGCAGCGTGGACTTGAAACTTCCTCGAAATGGTTTTTAAACCGTCAAGCACTTACAACAGAATTTTAAATAAATATTTCCTTTATTTTTAGTATCAAAAATTAGTATGCTTGCGAAAACATATTTTCCCGGGACTCTCGTGGAAAGTAGCTTATTCTTTTCAAAGCAGCTTGGATTTTAAACGGCCTTAAAATGGTTTTTATTCCCACGTACTGTGTCTCATCTGCATACATACCGATAAACAGAAAAAGTCATAAATCCCCAAATTCTTTCATCGCATGCATTTATCTTCACTGCTTTGATGCAAACGAGATGACTTCGGTGGGTGCGATGCGATAGTGTCATCGAGGAATTCATTTGCATACGAATGGACGGCGTCCATCGAAAAAGCGCAAGGTCTCGCTACTATTTATCTCGGTCGAGATAGTTATGCATAAGTTATGAGCCCGTTGCAGCCAGATTCGATTAACCCCTTCCCTGCTTTTCCGATTCCCCAGAGGGATGGTGGTCACTCTTGGTGCCAAGAATTCCCCCAAAATTCCTGTTTTTTCATCCCTTTCCGGAATTTGGTGCCTTACTGTCTCGATAATGGCAATCTTAATCGATTCCCAGATAGACAAAGTGATGCAAAGTTTCCATCAAATTATCCAGATAGACAAAGTGACGCAAAATTTGCATTAAATTTCCCTCATAAAGGATCATGAAATGAGTCATGAGGGTGTTGCTTATGAGTCCTCATTTAGATCTCATATCTGCAGGACGCAACGACGAACCAAAAATACTTAAATATGAAACAAAGTTAAGTACATGCAATGTCTGGATGTTTGTTCGCATATGTATAGCTAAATTTATCTGATGCATTGCTGATTAACAATTGCAGCATCTGTAGCTCATATTTGAGTCATGGGAACATGGAGCAACGTCATATTTAGTTCACATGTGTGGCACTAACTAACTTCATACAATGTCCGCCAATTAATATCATGGGATGACGTTAAATTTTCCATAAATTTTCAGTTCATAAATGTCGGTTATGGCATAACTGGCATATGACTCGAGTATGCGGTGAATATATTGCTACAACCATTTATGACAAATTTATACCAAATTTGTCTTCAAATTTATTGCGTAATATGCGTACATATATTGCAGACATTCCATGTAGTAAATTCTCCGCAAATTGTTTGTAAATCGATTTTTCTTGTCATATGATGATCATGAATTTCTATTTGGGTAGTCTCATAAAAGATCATGAAAGGAGTCATGAGGGTGTTGCTTATGAGTCCTCATTTGGAACTCATATCTGCGATACACAATGATGCATCAAAAATACTTAAATATGAAACAAAGTTAAGTACATGCAATGTCTCAATGTTTGTCCACATATGTACAGCTAAATTTATCTCACGCACTGCTGATAAACAATTGCATAGGAGCTCACATTTGAGTCATGGCGTAATCAAAACGGGAACATGAAGCGACGTCATATTTAGCTCTCATTTGTAGCATTAACTAATTTCATATAATACAATGCCCGCAAATTAACGTCATGAAATAATGTTACAGCTCCTGTCAAATTTTTCACAAATTTTCAGTTCATAAATGTCGGTTATGGCATAACTGGCATATAACTCGAATATGCGGTGAATAAATTGCTACAACCATTTATGACAAATTTACCGCAAATTTTTATTCAAATTTATTGTGTAATATGCGTACACATATTGCAGACATTTCATGCAGCGAATGGTCTGAAAATTGTTTGTAAATCGATTTTCCTCGTCATATGATGGTCACGAATTTCTATCTGGGTTATCTTGCAAAGTATGAATCTTCTATTGAAATTCCTAGCTTCTTAAGGTGATATGAAAGTATGATATATACGTACATAAATACGTACATATGTGATATATAAAACTTTTCTCCAAACTGGATTCACCGAATTATATGAAACTTTAACTCGGGATTATGGAGGCTTTAAGGAAAAACGCACTGCTCGTGAAATTTCATTTATCGAGAAAAATGTTGTGTTTATCTCGGATAAGAATCAAAAAAAGATATTTTTTTTCAAAAATGAAATTTCACCTTAGAGCCTCCTTAATTACGTGTTAAAGTTTCAGACAATTTGGTGCACTCAGTTTGCAAAAAGGGTTTATAAATATCTTGACTTTTTGATAAGTATGTATCACACATTTATATCACCTTTACTCACCTGGTTGCGCTAATCTATCCACATTTAATACACATCCCATCGCACCTGGGGTACAGAGTAGTAATTACAAATAATGATACCGTTGATTAATAAATTATTTTACAAAATCTAAACCTACAATTGAAATCTCTCGCTTTTTTATTACCCTCACTTGTGCTAATCTACCCTAATTTTCTGAATATACGTCCACTCTTAGTTAAGGGGGTTGTAATGAAAAGCTTATTCCCCCTTAAGGGGATGTAAAAGTGGCATCTGAAGAGCTAATCGTTTATGAAACTTTCCTCCGAACTGGGTGTATCGAGTCGTTTCAAACTTTATAATGTGAGCACGAGGACTATAAGGAATATCCCTACACTCATGAAATTTCAGTTTTTATTAAAACTGTTGAGAATATCTATAAACAAATTGTTTAAAAAAATTTTAATTTCACAAGTGTCAGGACTTTCCTTATAGCTTTCATGTTCATATTTTCATGTTTGAAACGATTCGGTACACCCAGTTCGATGAAAAGTTTCATAAACGAGACCTCTTTGTCGTCACTTTCACATCGCCTTAAATCGTATGCCTTGGAGTTCATGAAATTTCAAGCCATAAAAATGTACAGCTGCTCCAATGGGTAATGAAGACATTTTTTAAATAGAAATGTCCCTCACATCCTATTAAGCCGAAAAAAGTTATTAATTACACAGGAGATCTGGTGAAGGGTACTAACCTCCCTTCTTCTCGACTTGCATTTCAATGCTAACTAGAAAATGTAACAGTAATTTGTAAAAGTATTAATGATTACTTTTAATTGCACCCTATATACCTGCACAATATTTAAGTTATAACAATATTTAATCCCTAGGAATTACACGATTAAAAATTTGCGTCAAAATAACAAGTGTTATTTTCGTCCAACCTGAAACCCAAAAAGTGAATTAGTAAATCCAAAAGGTGCAAAATTGATTCATTTCAAAATAGAATTACCGATATTTCTGATCCTCGCTATTTATCGAGATTAGCGTTACGAAATATCTAACATTTTGATACAAAAATATTCAAATTAAACAGGTCATTAATTAAGTAATAAATCTGTTTCCTTTCACATACCATTCCAACAAAGTGACTATAAAACCTATTATGTGGCAAATTTTCGAGTTCTATTATGTCACATTTCTGTAAAATAATTGAAGTAATATTTTTCGAGTCAACAAATTGCTCTCTTCAATCCGGATATGCAAGTATAAATAATTTAGTTTTTTTTCCCATTAATGACCTGATAAAAATTTAATTTTTGAATCCTTTTCGTTAAAAGAGAAATGGTTAAACCTTTGTATACATTTTGACGCGGATTTTTTCTTGTGTAGAGTGATTTTTGAGTGTCTGACCAATTTTCAAATTGCAGCCCTGAAGAGTTTGAATCGTCTCAACAAAGAAGGAGAAGTTCACGCCGTCGAAGATGACGTCGCAGCGCACCCCACCTTGGCCTTGATGCGACGCATCCTTGCAGATGCACAGGTAAGGCTAGATACAATGTCATAAAAAAAAAACAATAACAGACGTGCCGACGTCTGCATTGTAAACAAACATTTCTTTCATTTTAAAACAACGAAATTTGGATTGCATGAAACTTTTGGGGACGAAAAGTCAAAACTAAGGATTTAAAATAAATTCCTTTAGGAGTACACTGTCGAAAACGTTTATATATTTCATGCAGTTTAAGTGTACAGTGTAGTATTAAAATGAGAAATTTAATATGATGATTTAAATTAGCGGACAATGTTTTTGAATTTATAATCGACATTCCAATTTTCTAAGGTTTTGTTGGAAATTTTATAGACCAGCTGGTGAAATTCAAAGGAAATTTGGATGGCATGGGAACTTTTGAGTATCAAAAGACAAAACTAAGAATTTAAAACAGATTCCTTTTGGAGTACACTGTCAGAAACGTTTATATATTTCATGGGTCAAGTTTCATGGGTATCAGGACCTTCCTTGTAGCGTCCATATTTCCCCTGTCAAGTTTCAAACGATTCGGTGCATCCAGTTCGGAGAAAAGTTTCATAAACGAGACTTCTTTGACGCCACTTTACCATTGCTTTAACCCAGGAGTCAAGCGACCCTTAACTGCACCGGGTCCGTCTTCTCAAAAGGAAATTCTTCCTTTGTTTATACAAAATTTGTAAAATATCTATAATCAAATTTTTAACGATGTCCAGTTTCATGGGTATCAGGACCTTCCTTGCAGCCTCCATATTCCCCTGTCAAGTTTCAGACGATTCGGTGCGTCCTGTTCGGAGATAAATTTCATAAACGAGACCTCTTTGACGCCACTTTCCCATCGCCTTAACCCAGGAGTCAAACGACCCTTAACTGCACCGGGTCCATCTTCTCGAAAAGAAATTCTTCCTTTGTTTATACAAAATTTGTAAAATATCTATAATCAAATTTTTGAAAATGTCCAGTTTCATGGGTATCAGGACCTTCCTTGTAGCTTCCATATTTCCCCTGTCAAGTTTCATACGATTCGGTGCATCCGGTTCGAAAAGAAGTTTCATATGATTCGGTGTATCCAGGTCAGTGATAAATTTCATAAACGAGACCTGTTTGACGCCACTTTCCCATCGCCTTAATCCAGGAGTCAAGCGACCCTTAATTGCACCGGGTCCGTCTTCTCAAAGGGAAATTTTTCCTTTGTTTATACAAAATTTGTAAAATATCTATAATGAAAATTTTGAAAATTTCAAGTTTCATGGGTATTAGGACCTTCCTTGTAGCTTCCCTATTTTCCCTGTCAAATTTCATACGATTCGGTGCATCCGGTTCGAAGAAAAGTTTCATATGATTCGGTGTATCCAGGTCAGAGATAAATTTCATAAACGAGACCTGTTTGACGCCACTTTCCCATCGCCTTAATCCAGGAGTCAAGCGACCCTTAACTGCACCGGGTCCTTCCCTTCTCGAAGGGAAATTCTTCCTTCTTTGGGCAGTTGTCGGGAACGAGCAAGAGGCCCGAAGCGGTTAACTACCCAGGTCCTAACTGCGAGCTACCACGGCGTGCATTGACAATGAGTCTCTTTGTGTCCGCCAACTATTGTCGTAGCTGCGGCGCTGCCAACCACTGATTCGCGTCCCGGAACCAGCCCGGGATTTCTCGGCGACTCCCTCGGGCTAAGTAATTCAGCTGTTTATTCGAGCGGTCCCACCGAGTTTACACTTAGCCTTAAGGGTTGCTCGGGAACTTTCTCTTCTAGTCTTCCGGGCTGCGAAAAGTTCGCCCAACTTTTTGGCGAGTCCTAATTTGTCGCTGATCGGATCCTTCTTCTGCTCAACGACTTGACGAATCGCTCATTGAATCCCTCAAAGAATATACGGAGCGAGTGAACGAATTGCCATCCCAAAATGACTCGTTACATTTTCATTTTATTAAAATGTTTTACACAAAATATGTTACATTATACGGAACTCTTCCAATGGATGCGTTGTCATTTAAAATCATTTGTCTAACATTTTTCGAAGCATAGTGTTGTGGTCTTTAATTTCTTAAAGTTATGATGATAGGGTCAACCTATATATANGTACCTTTTAAATTTTAAATATGTTATAGAGGACTTAAATCTAAGGAACCCGTGTTTTTTTTTTATCGGCGGATAAACACTTTTAGGGGATGAAATCAGGCTTCAAAGTTGGCCGTGCAAGGGGGTGAGTTGGTTGTTTCATATAGAGGCACTCGACCGATTTTCCTGGAACCACCGTCAAAATGTAGGGAATGAAGAATTATGAAACATGCATTTGGAATTTTGCGTTTGGAATCATGCGTTCGCGGGTGATAATTTTCGCTTGGTAATTACTAGATCTGACGATCATATGACAATTTTATTTCATCAACGTCGATTCAATTTCTCAGCGCCTTTCATATCACCTAAAAACCCGTGATTTCCTGATTGATTAATTCCCCTTGATTCTAAATGGATCGCTTATTAACTTTCATCAATTTCTTCTGCAGCGTTATTTCGCGTTACCATTCCTGTTCCATAATTTTTTTTTTTTAAACAAACCGAGAAATGTTCCAACCGATAGATTGATGAAATTGGGGATGTGTTCGCGGGTGATAATTTTGGGGTGGTAATCACTAAATGTGACGATCACATGACAATTTTATTTCATCAACGTCGATTAAATTTCTCAGCGCCTTTCATATCACCTAAAAATCCGTGATTTCCTTATTGATTAATTCCCCTTGATTCTAAATGGATCGATCGTTGACTTGCATGAATTTCTTCTGCAGCGTTATTACGCGTTACGATTCCTGTTCCATCATTTTTTTTTTTTTTAAACAAAGCGAGAAATGTTCCAACCGATAGATTGGTGAAATTGGGGATGCGTTTGCGGGTGATAATTTTGGGGTGGTAATTACTAGATGTGGCGTTCACATGACAATTTTATTTCATCAACGTCAATTAAATTTCTGAACGCCTTTCATATCATCTCAAAATCCGTGATTTCCTGATTGATTAATTCCCCTTAATTCTAAACAAATCGATCGTTGACTTTCATCAATTTCTTCTGCAGTGTTATTTCGCGTTACGATTCCTGTTCCATCATTTTTTTTTTTTTTTTTTAAAGAAAGCGAAAAATGTTCCAACCGATAGATTGGTGAAATTGGGGATGCGTTTGCGGGTGATAATTTTGGGGTGGTAATTACTAGATGTGGCGATCAATGAATCAGTGATGGAGCGCGTCGCGCTCCAGCTCTGCTCTTTCAAATTTTCCAGGAGCATGAGACCGTGCATTATAATTTCTTTTTCCAAGCATTTTTCCGAAACAGGGGAAGGCATTTCAGTTGATGAATCGGCAAAACCGAGGGATTCGTTCGCAGGGGATAATTAGTGGCCTCGTAATCACCAAATGATGGTGAAGGGGTCGGTAATGAAACCAGTCACAGTCTGGACTGCTCTCTTTCATATTTTCCAGGAGAGGGAGAGCGTGCATTATAATTTCCTCTCCAGCAATGTTTCCAAAACAGAGCGAAAGATATCCCAGTCGATAGATCGGCAAAACCGGGGGCGAGTTCGCGGGGGGTAATTAGTGGCCTCGTAATCACTAAATGATGGTGGACGGCTCGGAAATGGAACCCGTCACAGTCCTGGTCCGCTCTTTCAAATTTTCCACGAGTGTCACACCTAGAGTTCCAAACGCGGTAAGTTACGTCAGGAACGATGAGACATTCCTAGTAATTTATCGATCATTTCTCCAAAGCCTTTGTTTCCTGAGGAATTATGAGAATTTAAGGGGTTACACCACTTTGACGCACCCAAAAATTACGGTTTTTTCAAGAATTTTTTTCAAGAGTTAAAACGTTTTTATCCAAATTAAAGTACAGTAAGGTATTATACTACTATTAAACTCGCTCACTAGGAAAATCGGTGATCGTGCGGTGAGCAGGTGTATAGGTGTAAACGCGTTTTTCTTAAAACTGCATTTTAAAAATCGGTGGGCACTCTAGCTCCGCCAATTTTCAATCAATCGTCTTGATTCTTTTTATATTTTATTCGTGATACGTTTATCTAGCGAAATACGTATGGTTTTTTTCAATGTATTGATATTCGCATTTTTTATGCAACATTAATTAACGAAATTTAGGGCAAAATACGTATCTTTCCTTTCAAATCGATGCCATTTTGTGAAAAATGCATATTTTTGAAAACGGCTACGTATTACGCTAGCTTTTGGGCTGCAGAAACTAATTCTTTTTCGTTTATTGTTGTAACTTAAACCTGGACTGAGTTATCGTGCCCACCGCACGATCATAGATTTTCGCAGCGCTCCGGTAAATCGCCTTTCAAGCCGCCATTTTTGTAAATAAAAAAAATACGAAAAAGCATTTTTTTGTTTAATAGTAGTATAATACCTTACCGTACTTTAATTTGGATAAAAACGTTTTAATTCTTTAAAAAAAATTCATGAAAAACCGTAATTTCTGGGTGGGTCAAAGTGATGTAACCCCTTAAGGTGAAGTGAAACCCCCTTCAAATGAGTCGATTCGAATACAACACTTTTTTTTAAGGATGTTAGACCAAACTGTCCGAAACTTTGACACATGACTCGTGTCATCCAAGAATTGTCCTGATATATTCAAAATTTTGATTTTTCATAAAAATTTGTTAACTTAGCCCAGACCAGAACCACAATGGCGTCGAGCTCTCATATTTCGATCAGTATACAATTATCGAAGGCTCTGATATGAGAAACGAAAGGGTCAGGACAATTTTACGACAATTTAGAAGCCTCTGGTAATCGATTAACTCGCATTTGAACGGAATAAAGGCAAAAAAAGTGTGTTATACGCTTCCATGCTAAAACGATGGAATACAAGGCCTCGGAGTGAAAATTTAATTGACCTGGAAATCACAGATGGCGCGGGGGTCCCTCTACAGTCAATTAGGGCCCCAGAAAGCATGAATCCAGAGGATATCTGGAGCATTACATCGATTTATTTATATTTATTCTACGAAAAC